ATCCAAAAATCTCTAATGACTGAAGAGTCTGATAAACTTCTTTTCTTCATTTGCTTCAAATTCTCTGTCTCTGAATATCCCCTCTGTACAACCGACAGATACACGGTAACCTGCATTAACCCACAGCAGGTACCACTTGTCTAGGAGCAGACTTGGATTTCCACAAGGTGGTCTTTACATATTCCACCACAGCACCCACTCTTCTATGTTTGAATATAGAACATAGAAGGCTCACTTTGTGGGTGTCTCCCACCATAAACTGTGAGTGCAGGCAGGAAATGTGTCTTGCATTTCTAAGATAATGCTCATATAGAAAGTATTTGATATATGATAAATAAGAATATAATATTTTGTATTTACAAACCACATTTTATGCTGGTCTTTTATTCAAGAAATCAAAAATTTGAGATGATGTGCAGACAATAAAAGTGTTTTCGTCCATTTCGGAACATCTCCCTGAAAATATAACTCAAACCACAATAACCCTATCAGGAATCAAAGCAGTTTCATTTGGTCAACTACAGACAGTTAAAGTTTTTGGGAATGGAAGACTATCCCACGCACAAACTCTGGTCTTCTTCATTCTCTTCTACTCTATGATATTCACCACTTTGAGCCAGCTGGTGGCATTGTGGTTAAGGTGGTTGGATTCCATGTGGCCAGCTTTGTGGTTCAAGTCCTGAACCTGGCAGCTTGCAAAACACAACAAGTATCTATGTGTGCATGTCCAAAAAAAGAGGAATAGAGAAGGGCATTCCTCCCGGGGGGGGGGTGCTCTCACTCGCACTTGCTCGCTGTCTCTCTCTCTCTAGCAAGCACATGTACCCTTTGGCAAATTTTTAAATATGATATTTACTACCATACACACAAAAATGAATATACACATGTACACACCAATAAGTGTCAGATTTTCATGGAATTGTCTTGTACCATAATCATCCAAAATATATCCATTATTGCTTGTAAGGTGTCCTGAGCAGGGGTGAAGATGAGGAGAAGAATTGGGAGACACAGGAAAGCTAGGCACATATACCACTGTGAGATTTGGAATGAATAACAAACCAAAATCAAGCAACAGATACATACATAAGTCAACTCTTAGTCTAACCTCTATATTATTACTGTTTCAACTGATTATTGGATAATCTAAACACTGACTTTTTTCTTTTTTTTTAAGGCTTTTGCTATAGGGTACATGTGCTTGCCAGGGAGAGAGAGAGAGTGAAAGGGAAAGTGAGAAATTATCTCTCAGGGGGAATTGTCTCACTACAATCTCTTCTCCTCCATTCTCCTCTCAGGATTTTGGTTATGCATGCAAACATCCCTGTCAGAACGGCATAACTGACAGCCTGAGAAATGAGCTTGGGATCTAGACCTCCTTGATTCTCCTCAGATACTCAAGCATTATCTTTCCTCATAGAAAAATAAAAATCTAAAGCTTCCCTGTCCCTCCTCAATCTACAACTCAGCTTTAAAGGCACATTTACCAGGCCAGCCCAATAGCTCTGAGGTTAAGGGAGCCAGACCCCACATGGCCAACCACGGCTCCTGTCCCAGAGCCAGCGGCTTGAGGAACACACGAGGTGCATGCATGTGTGTGCCCAAGATCCTGACAGGAAGTAGTCAGGAAGAAAGACTGCAATGTGACCATGCCCCACGGGGAGGGGTGGGGTGCTTTCTCTTGTCACTCTCTCTCTCCCCCTCGAGTAGACATGCTCTTTGGCAATTAAAAGTAAGTAAATAAGGGCATATTTATTTTCCTCCGAGGCCTCTGCTGCTAAACTCTTCTTCCCTCCAGAAGAACAGTTGAATATGGAGGCGGGAAAGGCAGCGTGGACGCTGGAGTCTCAGTTGCGCCCTGAGAAGGTAAGCCACATTATGCAGCCTGTGTGCAGAGTGGTGTGACTCCCACACTTCCCGAGTCGCCGGATCTGCTGAGATCTACGCCATTATTCGAAGTCCAAAGATGGTTTGTAATCACTAAGACACAGGTTGTTTCAAACTGGTTTCTTTGTAGGCTATCTTGAGTACAGTTCTGTTCCCTGGCAGAGCTACAGAAAGAGTGCCACAGCAGTGTCAAAAAACAGGATGCTCTAAACAGATACCGGGACAGACAAGGTATCTGTTTGTCGGACGGACAGTGGTTCTCATCTGTGGCCACTCACAGAATCACTTAGGTAGTTCTTACATGATATCTGACTGCCTTCCAAGTGTATCTTTAAATAGATTCCCCAAA